CCATGATATATGGGATAGAGTTTTTAAAATTCGAAGGCGGCGGAGAGCTTTCTCTTTAATGTGTAGAATATGGTCTCGCCAGGTCAGTTTGGAGTCAAAAATGACGCCTAGGAATTTGCCAGAGGAACGGCTTTGGAGTGGAGTGCCATATAATAAGAGTGGGGGTAGGGGACCTATACGTGAGCGAGAGAAAAGGATGGAGAAAGATTTAGAGGTAGAAAAGCGGAAGCCATGGTTTGTGGCCCAGGAAGATACTGATGAGATTGCAGATTGAAGAAATTGGTAGAGATTTGGTATGGATGTGCCAGAGGCATAGATGGTTAAATCATCAACATATAGTGATGATCGGGCTCCTGGTGGTAAAACTGAGACAATATCATTAACAGCAAGAAGGAATAAAGTGGTACTGAGTACACTGCCTTGTGGGACCCCTTCGATTTGAGGAAAGAAAGATGATGTGGCAGTAGCAATTTTGACCTGAAAAGTGCGTTGGGAGAGGAAAGACTTTATGAAGACACCCATGTTTCCACGTATGCCTAGAGACGTCAATTGTTGGAGAATATGGTACCGCCATGTCGTATCATATGCCTTTTCTAGATCAAAGAATATAGCTAGTACAGATTCATGGCGTGCAAATGCAGATGTAATATATGTCTCAAAATGAGCAAGGGGGTCAGCTGTGCTTCTGGCACGGCGAAAACCGAATTGGGAAGGAGAGAGGAGATTGTGATATTCAAGATACCACATTAAGCGGAAGTTCACCATTCGCTCTAATAGTTTGCATAAGCAGCTAGTTAGTGCGATGGGGCGATAGTCTTGAGGGAGGGTACCCGATTTATTGGGTTTCAGGAAGGGAAGGATAAGAGCTTCTCGCCAATTAGAAGGAAAATTTCCTGATGTCCATATGTGGTTGTAAATTTTTAATAGGAAGGATAAGGAGGAGGATGGGAGTTGCCGAAGCATACGGTAGTGAATACCATCAGGGCCTTCATGAGTGTTGCGGCACGATTGTAGGGCAGCAATGAGTTCAGAGGAAGAAAATGGAGCATTATAGGACTCAGCGGAGGATGGGGTGAAGGTAATGGGGGTACTTTCTCTGGTGGTTTTGATAGAAGAGAAGTGTGGAGAGAGGTGAGAACCACTACTGACCTGGCTGAAATAATCACCCAGTTCATTAGCGACTTGGAGAGGTTCAGAAATGAGGGTATTTTGAATATGGAGGACGGGGGTAGGATGGGGGGGATGTTTGCCTGATAGTTTATGGATTCGGCGCCAAACATTTGAGATAGATGTAGAGGATGTAATTGATGAAACATAATTTCGCCAGCTATTTGTTTTACTATTCCGAATTGTACGCCGAAGACAGGCAGATGCTCTTTTAAAGGAGATAAGGGCTGATAGTTGATTTGGAGTACCTCTTTTGTAGCGATGACTGTTCCAGGCTGCACGTTTTAAGCGAAGTGCTTTAGTGCAATCAGAATTCCACCATGGAACACATTTAGAGGTATATGGTCTTGAGGTTCGAGGGATAGCTGTATGTGCAGCTCTTAAGACTGTAGTTGTGAAACACTGTATCATTTCTGAAATGGAGGTGAGGGAGGAAGGAGGGTTATGAATAGCAGAGAGTGAAGTGAAAGTATGCCAGTCGGCTCTATCAAAGCACCAACGTGGGGAGTTAGGAAGTGGTACGTATGAAGTAGGAGAAAGGAGAACTGGAAAGTGGTCACTATAGGGAAAGTGGTCTAATACTGACCAGTGGAAATCTAAATGAAGGGAAGGGGTGCATAGGGAGAGGTCAATGCATGAAAAAGATTGTGTGCGTGTATCAAAGTGTGTGGGGCGATCTGAATTTAGAATTGTAAGGTCAGCTGTGGAGAGAAAGCGCTCTAGAGATCGGCCTCGGGAGTTGGTGATAGAATCACCCCAAAGAGTGTGGCGGCAGTTAAAGTCACCAACTATGAGGAAAGGTGGTTGAAGTTGGGAAATTAGATTTTCAAAAGCAACAAAGTCAATGGGGTGGGAAGGGGAGAAGTAGACTGAAATCACTGTGATCCAACGATGAAGGAAGATACGAATAACTGTACAAGGGACATTGGTTTGAAAGGTAGGTGTGACATAAGGTGTTTTCTGATTGATGAGTATGGACGAGACATAAAGGGAATGTGGGGAAGAGACAAAATGGTAATTGGGGATTGGTATTGGAGGATGTGTGAGAAAGGTTTCTTGGAGACATACAATAGATGGGTTATAAGAGGAAAGGATATGACGAAGGTCAGGTCTGTGGGAGCGGAAACCGCGAATGTTCCAATGAAGGATAGTTATACTTTCGTTGATTTAGTGATATAGATTGTAGTACGTGTTGGAGAATTTGAAGGGGTAGTAGCTAGAGGGTGGGATAAGGACTGAGAGGTTTGAGATGGGAGAGGTGTGGGAGTTGGTGTTCTATCAGGATGGGTATTAGGAGATGGAGGGTCTGAGGAAGGGGATATTTGTGACATACTATCAGGATGGGTATTAGGAGATGGAGGGTCTGAGGAAGGGGATACTTGTGACATAAGGGATTCACGTGTGTATCCAGGAGGGAGTGGAAGGGATAGAGGGGATGGTGGGAGGGTTAATGTGGGTGGGGTTGGAGTCAGGGGGGATGGGCTGTGTTGGGAGGGGGTAGGAGGATAGGGTGTAGGGGGGATATCGTTAGGTGGAGGATGGATATCGGCAGTCACTTGGTGTGTGGAGGGATCAGAAGTTGTAGGTTGAGTGTCAGTTTTCATTATGTATTCTTGAATGTTTTCAATAGTTTCTTCTGTGGAGTTGGTTGGGGAGTTTTGGGGGATAAAGGATTTCTTATGAGGGGGGGAGGAGAGGACTGGTGTTTCTGGTGGAGGTGATTGTGTGGTTGGGGAAGAGGGGGTGGAACGTTTGTTCTGTCTGTTTCGGGTAGTGCGAGGAGGGAGGGGGGAAGGTGTTAAGGTTGTAGTGGTGATTGGAGTATCTGTAGTGGAGATGGGAGTGTCTGGGTTTAGGATGGCAAAAGAGTTTGATTGGGGAAGGTAGGATGTAGAAGTGGGGGGGTTAGATGTAGGAGGGGTGGGTTTAGGAGAAGTGGTAGAAGTGGTAGAATGGGCTGTATTAATGGAGTAAGGAGTAAGAGAGAAACCACGTCGTCGTGCTTCCTGTCTGGCTTCACGCAGTGTGAGTCCAAGTCTGAATCTGAGAGTTACTACCTCAGATTCAAATTTGTAGGTGGGACAGCCCCTATAAAATACATTATGGGGGCCGCCACAGTTGGCACATGTGCGTGAGTTTGCAGGGCAGTTAGATCGGATATGGCCAGTTTGGGCACATAGTGGACATCTGGCTGTGGAACGGCAATGTTTGGCTGGGTGTCCTAGACGCCAGCAATTTTGGCACTGACGTGGGGGAGGTTGGTATGGGCGGACAGGGAGGGATTCTCCTCCTATGTAGACGTTAAAGGGAAGGTCATGTCTACGGAAGGTAATTTTGGCGATGTTAGTGGGTTTCTTACGATGACCTCTGGGAGGGATGGAGTAACATTGTACTGATGTCGCATCGTAGTCTGTGAGACAGGCGAGTAAGTCTTCTCCACAATCTGACCAATCTTTGTCATAGATTGGGCAGTTTTCTGGGGAGATAGATACGGTTCCAGTGCAAGTATTGAGAGTTGGATGGGGTTCTGCAAGGATAGGGTTACCATATAAATCAGTTAGTTTTGTTAATGCTATAGCTTGATTTTCTGATGTTACTGTGACAAGACGGGAGCGGTCGGGTCGGCTACGGAAAGAAACTTTACCTACTTGTTTTTGTAGACATTGTTGGAAGAGAAGGGTGTTGTCAGAGTAGGGAGCTGTGGGAGGGATCACGAAAAATCAGTCCCATTTGGCTGCACTAAAGAGAGTGTTCAAGATTGTTGTAGGGGTGGTAGAGGGGCGGGGGCGTGACGAAGATGGAGTAGTGTTGATGGAGGTAGTGTTACGGAGAGGTGGGCAATAAGGCTGTAAGGTAATAAGGGAGGATGGAGTGGCTGATGTTGGAGGTTGTGGGGGTAGAGGTGTTGAAGTTGAGCTTGTTGGGAGAGTGGAAATGTTCCTTGAGGGTTGGTTGTTGGCTATTGTACTATTAGGCATTGATGAAGGGGTATTTATTACAGTGTTCGGAGCCGTGGTCAAAGGAGAGCCTGGGGTCTGGGAATCGGGTGGGTTTTCTTCGTTGGGGCTATTTGATAAAGGGGCAAGCCTCATTGCCCCTAATAGTGGAGATAGATTTTCATTATTGGCCATGGTAAGCCTGGATGATGTTGGGGATAAAAACAGTCCACCCCTCAGGGTCCCCTTGAGGGGTAAGGGCTAGAACTAAATCAGGGGAATACCGTGCCCATGGCTCCCTCAGGCCGTTCAGGACTGGCACTAAGTCAGCCTTTCATCCTTTCAGCACGGCTCTCACACCTTAGGAGGTGGATAGCAGAAGGGTTTGGTGAAGGGACAGAAACAAAAGTGGGAAGGGAAAAAGGCCATGCATAATTAGTTGAGTCGAGGGCTGAGTCCCAAGGTTGGGGAGTTCCCATCATTGGGTCCCAGTCTCCGCCTCCTAAGCCCCCCCACGACAACAACGGGCAAGGGATTGGGGGGGGGCCTGCAGAGCAGTATGATCTATCATAAACAGGTTGGGCACACAAAGGGCATTGGGCTATGGAACATCAGTGTTTGTCAGGATGACCTAGATTCTGATATTGACGGGGGTAGGTTGATACGGTCAGACAGAGAGGGACATCAAGGGGGAGGTCGTCTACAGAAAGTAATCTTGGTAATATTGGTGAACCTACGGCGTCCTTTGGGGAAATAGTGTAGTAATGTACTCATACTGCATCATTGACCACGAGGCAGGCGAGCAAGTCTTCTCCACAATCTGACCAAGCATTGACGGAGGGATGAGACTGGGCAGGAATGGGTTTGCCAGTGAAGTGAGTTAGGGTTGATAATGCTTCAGTTTGGGATTAAGATGTAACTGTGACGAGGCGTGACTGACTGGGCCGGGTGCGGAAGGAAACTTTGCCTACTTGCTTTTGGAGTAACTGCTAGAAGAGACTGTTGTTAGAGTAAGGGGCTCTAGAGGGGACTAAGAACAATTGATGCCATTTGGCTGGGCTAAACAGAGTATTCAAAAGTTTTGTAGAGGTGGGGGTAGCAACAGGAAGGGGACGTGTGGAAGAGGAAGTAGTGCTGGGGGAAGTAGTACTGTATAGGGGTAGACAGTGAGGCTGCAGAGTAGTGATAAAGGAGGAGGGGGTAGTAGTTGAAGAAAGTTGGGGGGTGGAGGAAATGAAGTAGATGTGTTTTCTGGAGGATCGTAATGACCTGGGTGGATGATTTGGACTGGACTGAGGTGATAGTTGGCATTAAAGAGAAGGTAGTAGTAGCAGTATTCAGAGTCGTGGTCAAAGGAGAACCTGGGTTGGGGAACCAGAATTTAAATCTGTGGGGATAGTTGATAAAGGGGCAAGCTTCAGTGGCCCTAAAATGGTACAAAATCTTTATTAGTAGCCAGGGTGAGCTTAGAGTACTTTTAGGAGGAGGGGATGAAGTTTTAATCTGAGAATTGTCACCTCAGACTCTCACTTTATTTATAGGAAGTATAGATACAACCAAATTTGCTTGATATATAAACTTCTCTCTTCTACGAACACCGAGATAGTATTAACAGGAAGAATGCAATGAATTCCACTAAATTTATTTTCAATTTTTATTTGCAATTCTGCATATCTAAAGTATACTTGATTCTCGCTCTCTTCATTTTCAGAAACAAGACCTATCGACAAAGATACTGAGCATGCTTAGGAACATCTAGGACAATTCTTAATCAAGTTTCATTTTTTTGCAAATATAAATATATAGTGAATTATCAAAAACAGAAACAAAAATATGTATCAGTGATGAAATCTGTCATTCAAGATCACAAATGAACCTTCACAAAGTGGAATGCAACAAAACATTTCTTGCATTAAATTTACGCAGTATGCATAGAAAGAGCACAATGGCATCATATATTTGCTAAAACTCTACCCAGTCGACTTCTCTAAAATTTAAGTTATTTCTCTCAAACAATCAACAAAATAAAATGAATGAATCAAACCCCATGTGCACCTAGTTAGTGTTGTGCTGATCTTACAGGAATGGGTCCCAGCCTATCCAAGATCTTCCCAGGATATTAGGGTCTGTCGCTTGTTCAAGAAGGACATCTACCTGCTGGTGAGTGCTGAGTCCTCGCTCGCCAACACTGGCTCGGACGGATTCTCCTCTGTCGCCTAAGACAGCTTGTTTGAGGTTCTCATAGGCCTTCTGTTTTGCTACATATTTATTTTGGGAAACTGCCCATAAGGTTATGTAGGCTGGGTTAATGTCACTCAGCTTATCATTTAGCAATTCGATTCGTTTGTTAGAAAACAGTTCTACTTTGCTGTCCTTGGTGTCACCCTCCTGTTTCTGAACAAAATCTAGCCAATCTTTTGTTGGCTCTTTGACAAAGGCCTCTAAAACTGCTGTCAGTACATGGCGCGATTCTTGAAGTGCTCCCAGTGCAGCAACCATGATTTCTTTCAACATCCCGACTTGGCCTATTGGCTGGAATACATTTACAATTTGAGGACTCAGGCGAATCGGCATCAACTCTGGAACTGGCAGAAACTGCACAGCACTTTCAAAATGGTGGCCAAAGTCAATCCCAACAACACGACCAGTCTTCAGACTTACAAGGGAATTGCTACAGTGACGATCACCAATGCCCAAAAGCCACTGTGAGATACATAATGTTGCGTAACTCACGGCAAAAGCACTTCTTAGACTGAAAAAGCCTTCATTGCTGCTTGACATCCTCACAAGTCCCCGGCGTAAGACATCCCATGGAATCTTGTTTACAACTTCTTCATATGCCTTTATAACATCCCGCTTTTTGGCTTTCTTGGCAACATTATAATTTTCATTCTTTCCATAAAGAGCCCTTGCCTCACCATAACATTTTGTTTCATTTTCTCTATACGATTCATTTATAAAGTCCTTTAGGGGTTGAGTAGAATCAACCCACTGCAAGATGCCCACTCTCAGTGAAAGTGGGATCACCTGATAAGTGTCCAGTGAAGGAACGGATGAAGCTTTGGTGCACAGAGGCGACCTAGCATATATACTGTTCATCAGTGTAAACATCTGCTCCATTCTCTGGTCAGTGCGGAGATCTTCTCCCCACTTCACAAGGAACTTGTATTCCTTTTCATCATCACCTCTAATTATAATCCTCATTGGCACACGCATAGATGACATAAGCATGACATTTTCATCAAAACTTGAAATCTTTACATGATACTCAGGTAAAGGTTTGGACATTCCAGTATACTGACCAGGCAACTCGAGCACTTCTGAATACCTTGATGCCTGGAAATTGGCCAGCCAGGGAGAATAGGCCTTCAACTGCCGGGGCAACTTTTTTGACTCTTCTGGAGACAGCTGCAAGAATCTTCCCATCGAGCTAAGTTGCTTCTGAATATCTCCAATAGACAAAGACTTTGCCTTCTTCAGATTTTCACCAAATGCTTTTGCAAAAGCTTCAGCCATTTGCTTCTTTACTCGGTCTTGCCTGGTATATGCCTCACCCTTTTCCTCTGCATTTCCTTTAGAAGACCTGCTCTGTACTTTTAAGAACTGACTCTCAATCTCCTTTAAACACAGTTCCATCTTTTGTTTGTCTTTCTCTTGCAAAACATTTTGAATTGCATCTTTGCATGCAATGGACGGAACCACCATAAGTGACATTGCTGACACAAACTGATGTAGAAGTCTGTGTGAGCTGAGTAAGGCCTCTACCCTTTCACACATGGATTTAGCAAGTTTGCCTTCGTGACTACTGAAGTCGTACTGTTGCTTGCTAATCCCAAAGGATATATAACTGCATCAGGGTATTCTGCTGCCAACCGCTCAACCACAGGCTGAAGAGCAGGCCCCGGAACTTTATCCACATATATGAGAATGTGACTTAGCCAGAGCAAGAACATCCATATTGGTACCTTCTCAGATTCCTCCTGGAAAGATGATAAAAGACTTCCATCCTCATTCATTAAATTTATCAGACGCGGGAAATGAAAATGAGCATCTCGTGACCCATTTGCCATTGCTCGGAGGACCGAGACCATAAGGGCTTTGGAATATTGTGACACATCCACATGATCTTTCCATTTTATAACACATTCTTCACAGTACTTGGCAAGTGCCATATGAGCTTCACTATCTGATTTCTTCAAATCATCTTGATTCAAAGCATCACTTTTTGCCAGTTTACCTTCTGCACAAGTCACAGATAGCTGAAGGCTTTTATAACTGCAGCTAAGCAGCTCTCTATACCAGGATTCTTTTCCATCTGCACTTTCAAATTTCTTTGATAACACCTGCATGTACTGATTATCTTCTGCCCAGTCATCACCCATATCCTGAATAGCACGGCAAATTTCCAAACAAAGGTGACTTTCCAATTTCAGATACTGTATCTCCACCCTTGGGTTTTGATCTAATATTGACATTGAGCTTACCCTGCCTAAATATTTGGCCCATGCCTCCACTAAGTATTTAGCTGATCAGATTGCTTTGCTTGACCCCTAAGGATGTGGGTCTTTGCCATCAAGAAATAGAACTGTGCTTTAGAGTACTCATCTTCAGACAGAGAGCTTATTTTCTTCAAATGTCGATTAGCCAAATGGTAATTGGAATTATGGAGAGCTGCCCTGATCACAAACCTGTGAGTGAAGTTCTTTGTGTCCTTAATAAGGTTCAAAACCTCCAAGAGTCTTCTGGTAATTTCTTCTCCATTATGTGTAAGTACAAGTCCCGATATGAAGCCAGGCACTGGGTCATGAGCGGGTTATCATCAATGCGGCATTTCTGTTTCTTCCAGTTGGTGACTGTTTGCTTGACTTTTGAAGAGTAAAAATCTCGGTCAGCATATTTAACATTGTTCAAGCAGTCACGCAGCTCTGTTAGCAGCTGAACATTTTGCAAAGTGTCCAATAAAGGATTGGGAGTAAGAACCGAGTACTGAGATAATGTTAAAAGGGTCATTGATGTGGCAGTGTTTGCATAAACATTTGCCTGTTCAAATTTCTCTTGGTGAGCAGCTAAGACACCTAATTGAAGCGGCAAATCTCCCTCCAGCATGGATCTATGTCGATGATCTCCCATTGACTGATCTATGAAAGCAATGAGGTTTCCATCAGACTCTGATCCATCCAAAATGTTCATGAGTTTAGAGTGGACCAAGGCTGGGAGGGCGGCTGCAGTTGGCTTGGGAAGGAGCCACACCCGGTTCAGATCAACTTCACCGGCATCATCTTGCAAGAACCGCTTTTCTACAAAGTTCTCCAATTCCGACCACTGCCCAAGGATGGCTGCACAATTGGAATACCATTCCTCCCAAAGGCGATTCTGAAAATATATTGTATATCAGTGCAAATTGAAAGGAGAGAAATTATGCAAAGTTTGCAAGAGGTGGAAAAAAAGAGAAAAGCAGTAAAGCTTTCTACGGAAACCAGACACAAAGGGAACTGCAAAAGTTGGTCTGATCACAAGCTGATGACCTAGCTTTGAATGGGAGAAAGAGACCTGATAAATGAGTACTAAAACACATTAAAAATACAGAAAGAGACAATGGGAAGAGATATCTTGACAACTACTATATGTATCCAATACATATAGGAGAAATGTAGGAAAGAAGGGCAGAAAGAGATATCCTTACTTCTGCCGGCAAAGGTTCCTCTTCCCAGTCAGTAGTGTCTAGGGATTGGCGATAGAGAAGGAATGCCTTCACATGGCTATTTGTTGCTTCTGCCTCAAGTGCCTTCTGTGTTTCCTCCTTTATGGCTCCTAGTTTTCCTTGCACGACTCCTCTTACCACATCCCACATGTTCAGACTCTTGTACATTCTGACAAGGAGAGTGAAATTGAACATTCATAATATTTGGGGGGGACTTTACTTGTTAACTATCTCTTGTTTATTTATCTCTGCCACCAAAATATTATCCAGCTTTTACATTCAGTGTAAACTTAAATTCTTATCTGAAATTAATGAGTGATTAAAAAGAAGAAGATTCTTTCCAAATCTAGGAAATTAAGAAACTTACTCAGCAATGCTAAGCCAAAGGGCATCATCCTGAGACAGGGCATCTGCATCTCTGCGCATCTTCTTACGCGCTGGGTGTGGCTCCTCTCCTCGCTTGGACAGCAAAGCCTGCCTCTCCAGCACCAAGATGCCTAATGCTTCCATTCGACTTCCCAAACAAGCTGATAAAAGAAAGTGTTGTACTCTTTTATGGATCTCAATGGTCATGTTGCTAATTAAGATGAGATTATAATAACTGTCGCCTTAACCCACTGGTATTGTGAAATGTCTCGGCACATACATGGCTCCACAAGTGATTAGCTACAAAGGAGTCAATCATTAGACCTTGTGACCTCACTTGATTTCACTTTTCCTTGAATTTGTGGGAAAAATTTGTTTTTACTAATGCTATTAATATCAATGCTGTTATTATCATTGTAAATATTATAATTACTATAAAGTTATGGACATTACTAATAGCAATATAAGATACTAGAAAATATTTCCAAAAATCAAGGGAAACTTAAATAGGTGAGATAGATAGGTAGTAGTCATAATTGGCTCACTGGTGACTTAATATTGTGGAGCAATCTATGCATAAAAACAATTAATGAATTAAACTCACAGTGGGAATGGCATATAAGTACATGCCACCCCGGCAGCATAAGGCTAAAAATCTATTCATGGAGATGTTTTCTTGCTCTTAGTGATTGAATCTTACTTTGTAAAATATTCTATCTATTTTTCAGAAACAGAAAAAGAATTTGGGGAGAGATACTTGGACATGAATGAGCTCTCACTTAGCCAAAACCTCTGTGAGTATTATTGAAATTTGAAAACTGAACACACAATTTGCCCCAG